AACGGCTGGAGTTGGGGGGTTGGGGGGGGGGTGCCCCGGGGGTCCCCCACCCCTCACCCCGCGCCTCTCTCGGTAGGCTCGGAGGCTTTCCGGGAGCGACACCCCCTGGGGCAGAGCTGCCCTGAGGGGGGGCCGGGGGAGCAGGTCCCCCCGCTGTCCCCCTGGGCTCTGCTCCGCAGCTTTTGGGGCACCGACCCCCCTCTGCAGGTAGGGGGGCGCTGGGGCAGGGTGGGGGGGAGCGCAGGCACCCCACATAGGGTGGGCTACCCCGGTCTGACCCCCCCTGACCCCAACCTCTCCCCGCACAGGGGTCCCTGCTCTACCTGGACACCCTCCGTGCTGCCTTCCCGCAGGCGCTGGCCTCCCGGGCCACTGCCCTGCTCTCCTGGGCACCCGGTGGCCACCGTGCCCCGGCGGGCTGGCCCTTGCCCACCCTGTACTGCACCCCGGCCGAGGCGGGGGCTCTGCCCTCCCGGGCTGCAGCGCTGCGGGTGCAGCTCCTCTTCGCCCTGCGGACGCGTGCCCTGCGCGTTCTGGAGGCTGGGCTGGCCACCGAGCTGCACGACGCGCTGGCCACCCTGCGTGCCAGCTGGCCCGGGATGGCCGAGGACCTGGCGCTGGGCAGGTTGAGCCCCCAGCCCGGGTTGCCCGAGGATGCACGGGGCCGGCTGCAGGCGCTGCTGGTCCCTGATGCCACCCGGGCTGCTGAGCTGCAGGCCGAGTGTGCCCTGGGCTTCGAGGGCATCGTGCAGCGCCTGTGGCCGCAGCTGGAGGTGGTGGTGGTGGGGACGGCGCACGGCGCCGAGCAGCTCTACTGCGATGCCCTCCGCCAGGCCGACTGCAAGGGGCTGCCCTTCTACTGCCCCTTCTACCAGGCAGCAGGAGGTGAGTGTCCCCCACATGGAGCTGTCCCCACGGCCTGTCCTGGCTGCACGGGGCGGGGAGGCGTTTCCCCCACAGACATGGGTGCATCTCGGTGCCACGTCCCTCTCTGGAGAGACCCGCCTGCTCTCCAAAACCAGCTCTGCCCTGGCACCAGCCAAGAGGTTCCCCATCAGAGCAGGGTGAGGCCACCTGGGCAGGGATGGGAGGTTTGGTGGGGCTCACCCTGGTTCATGCTGCCCTCTGCCCAGCTCTGCTCGGGGTGAACTTGTGGCCAAAGGAGCCGGTGCCCCGATTCCTGCTGTGCCCAGACTGGGCTTTCTGTGAGTTCCTGCCCTGCCCGGCCGAGGAGGAGCCGCAGACGGTGCTGCTGGGCGAGCTCTGGGAGGGACGGGAATATGGACTGGTCCTGACGGCCCGGCCCGGAGAGTACAGGTGCCTCTTCCCTCCTGCGATGCTCCAGGGGGGGCTGCTCACCCCATTGGCCCCCCCTCACCCTCCCCCTGCCCACGCAGGCGCCGTGCCGGGGAGGTGCTGAGGGTGGCCGGCTTCCACAAGCAGTGTCCCGTGGTGGAGCCCATCCGCAGGTGAGGACACCCCAGCCCTCTGCCCCTCACCTCGGGGTGGTGGGGGGGTGTGTTTGGAGGGGCCCTGGTGCCAAGCAGGGTGCAGATAGGACACCCCTGGCATGGGGCACCCACTCCTGGCCCTGCACCACAGGGAGAGCCAGGCGCTGAGCGTGCGGGGCGAGGGCATCCCCGAGGAGCGGTTCTGCCGCAGCCTGTGCCGCGCCGTGGGCATGTGGCCGGGCGCTCGCCTGGTCGACTACGTCTGTGTGGAGAGTGCCCTGCTGGGTGAGTCCCCCCCCAGTCCCCCCCAAAAAGCATGGCCAGTGCTGCCAGGATGCTGCTGGCCCCTCCTGCACCCTGCTGGGCCCCGGGGCTTGCGGGTGGCTTTAAGGTGCTGGTGGTGCTGCTGCAGGTGCCTCTTCGGGGGCCTGTGCCCCCCACTACGAGGTGTTTGTGGAGCTGCGGGGCCTGCGGGACCTGTCGGAGGGGCAGCGTTACAAGGTGAGGGGGACGGGGGCTCTGCTCTGGGGCAAGTCCCTGCAGGCAGGTGGGTCTCCCTGCTGCCTGCACCCTGTCTGCACCCTGCCTGCACCCTGCCTGCACCCTGCCTGTACTCTGCCTGCACCCTGCCTGCACCTTGCCTGCACCCTGCCTGCACCCTGGTTGCACCCTGCCTGCACCCTGCCTGCACCCTGCCAGCCAGGCAGGCAAGGCTGTGGGGTGCTGGCCCCTGTGCTGCCAGGATGCTTTGCTGTGGGGGGGTGATGCCTGGGGGGCTGCAGCCACTGGTGGGACCCTGGGCACTGCCAGGGGTGGGGGGCACGGCTGCTCCACTGGGAAAAGGGTGTTGGGGCAGCGCGGGCAGCCTGGCCTCTCTCTGCAGCTGGACCAGTGTCTCCAGGAGGATTTCCCCATCTATAAATCCTTCCGCTTCAAGGGCAGCATCGGGCCCCTGCGCCTGCACCTGGTGGGGGCCGGGGCCTTCGCCCGGCTGCGGGAGGCGCTGGGCTCCCCCCTCCCCATGCCCAGGGTTGTGCGGGAGGAGCGGCTGCTGCAGCTCATCCAGAGCACCGTCATCTCCTAGGGCACCCCCGGAGAGGGGGGGGGGCACAGCCCTCCCACCCTTGGGGTTCACTTGTTGTGAGCCCTCCAGGGAGGGAGCGGGGCTGAGTCCCTGGCAGAGGGTGGTGGGGGGCAGGGGTGCCACCCCCGGAGGGTTTGGCTGAGCGTAGGGGATGGACCCAGCAGCATCATCTGTGCCCCTGCTCCGTGGTGGCAGCAGGCGCTGGGCACCGGTGGGGACCCCACGGTGCTGCCCGTGGGGATGGGCACCCCCCAAGCCAAAACCTCCCCAGGAGCCAGGAGGAGCAGCAGAGCCTCAGCCCACGCAGGAACTGGGCTCATCCCCGCGCTGAGCTCCGGGGCCCTGTGGCATTTTGTCCCTTGGCAGGGACACCGCGGGCAGGGACACCGCGGGCAGGGCACGGGATGGCAGGTGCCGTCTGGTTTAGGAAACAATAAGCCCCAGTGAGGGCTGCTTTTAATGTTTAAAAAAAATCAGAAGCAAAATAGAGGATTATCTCTCAAAAATAAATAAAGGGCAGCGCTCTGGGATTGAATTTTTTTATATATATATACATACTATTATTTTTAATCCTCATTAAAGAGATTTCTTGTCAACAGCCCCGACTCTGCTCTGGTGGT